CACCCCATCCTTTTTACGCTGCTGCTACTCTGTTAATTATTTATGCATAGTCACTTTAACTCTACCCACATGTACATATTACCTCAACTAGCCGGTGCCCCCGCACATTGACTCTGCAACGGTACCCCCCTGTATATATAGCCTCCCTACTGTCACTTTATTTTACTTCTGCTCTTTTTTCTCTCAACACTTTTTTTGTTGTTGTTTTATTTTTACTTTTTTTGTAAAAAATAAATGCACTGTTGGTTAAGGGCTGTAAGTAAGCATTTCACTGTAATGTCTGCACCTGTTGTATTCGGCGCATGTGACCAATAAAATTTGATTTGATTTGAAAACATTGTAAACAGATTATTTTATAATAGCTGATGAGCATCACCACTGGTTATAATTTACTACGTAAATCAAATGTGTTCTACACACGGTTACTTTTTCATCACATTTCTCCTACTTCTGGAGGACTGTGGCTGATGCTTACCCTTCAGTGTGCCTACAACACAGAGTGAGATGTTAGGCCACAGCATGCACAATCCAATTCCTGATCACTGAAAGAATTACAGCATGTCTAAATCAATGCAGATATTCAGCACAATGATTTTATTTTTAGGGTCACTGCTGCTTTTACCATAATCCTTTTAGCAGATTATCAGTTTTACCTTTTTGTAATATAAATCAAAAAAGTATTCAGAGTGGTATTGTAATACAGCCATTGGAAATTGAGCCCTATCTATGAAATGGATTGTTTGAGAAAAGTTTTATGATGCCAACTTATTAGCATTTTGACATTTTTGAGATGTATCCGTTTGTGAATAAGATCTATCCTTTTATATACATTAATACATTCCTATGTATTAACTATTTGACATTTCCATTTTCTACGCACTGAAGGAAATATCTTAGATTTAAGTTGATTAATCTTTATCATATCGATTAAAAGTTGTTCACATTGTTGATAGCCAGTTAAAATGATTATTTATTTAGGTTTTTTGCTGCACTTTAATAATAATTTGGTTGACAACCCATTGTGTTCTTGTAAACTACAGGTTCTCAAAATTACAAAACAAAACCATTGCAGTAAACTCCTTTGTTGCTTAATCTTTTAAATAAATGCAAGAAGAGGAGTGCACTGTTGGGAAAGAGATTACTTCCTCAAATATTCAATGGGTAATAAAGTGGGTTATGTTGTCTATTTCCTTGTTCCTGGACACTTACAAAAAAGGGTTCAAATTCATCAGATGAAACCAACATGCAGCAAATTAATGTCTCAACAAGGCTCACCAATAATACCAAACAATTAAAAAATGCACACGTTCCGACAATTCATTGGCTCTCTTTGTTTATTAAAGTGCTCTGGAAAAATAGCAGAATTCATTTCAGAAACAATATTTACAAAACGTACCATTACAAAAGAGTTATAGGACCTCAGAGATACAGAAGAAGTCTACAAAACAAAGTTAAGTGAGAAGCACTTGAAGATTAAACTTGACAGAATGCATCAAAGGAATTAGGTCCTTCATCCAAAAGGACCCACAAAAGATATCACTTTGGAGAAGCTTAAATGATTTCAGTGTAAAAACCATGGTTCCTTCGTTATCTATCGGCTGGTTTGTAAGGCAAAGTCCACGACTGCCATTACTTCAGTATAGTAGCAAATGTTTCCTTTTATAAACGATATCCCCTAACAACTGAAGGGACTGTCATTAAATATTGATGAACAGACTCCACTCCAAATTCCATTGTAAGAGGAAATTAATATTTTTCTACTTTGAGAGGATAGTGAAACTAACCTGCACTGAAGCCTTAAGACAATAATATCAATATAGAAAAAGTACCAAAGATATTTATATTTCAGCAATGATACAGTGTAAACTGGTTAATAAACATATAGCCTATATAAAAAAACATCTTATTCAAGCATCATAAATTAGAAAATAAAGGAATGATTGATTGACTAGTTAGAGTGAGCTGGTCCTCTTGCAGAGTGTGGTGCGCTGTTATCCACAGAGCTTAAACCAGTTTTTCCATTGGGGGAAATGTCACTTGCCCATCAAACAAGTACATTTAACACGCAAATTCATAATGTATTAAATTCATATACACTATAATTAGTTGTCTCTAAAATGAACATCTGATAGTTCGAGATTATATTAATACTCCTTGATAAAATAAGCCATGTTATATGAAAAACATATACAATGTGATAAAATTTACCCTTTACTACCCCCCAAAAAGCCAATTAGGATAGAAGAAAAACCCTCAAACCATCATATCATATTTTATTATATTATCAAGTCAGTATTTCAGAGCTGGTCAGTCAGAGGGGGTGAGTATTGCAGTCTCATTTGGTACGGTAGGCCACTACCTACAACTGGTATCTGAATGCCTTCAATCTCTCATCATACTGCAATAACAGTCTGACACCATAGGTCAGGGGTGGACAACCCTGGTCCTGGAGTGCCACAGGCACAGCAGGGTTTAGTTCTATCCAGTCACCACACCAGACTCTACTCATCACCTCACCAACTGAGCTAATTATTCAATATCAATGATGGGCTAAATTCCATCTACAGTGGTTTGCGAAAGTATTCACCCCCTTGTCATTTTTCCTATTTTGTTGCCTTACAACCTGGAATTAAAATGGATTTTTGGGGGGTTTGTAACACTTTGAAGATGGAAAATATTTTTTCTTGTGAAACAAACAAGAAATAAGACAAAAAAACAGAGAACTTGAGCGTGCATAACTATTCATCCCCCCCCCCCCCCCCACCAGGATTTTTGCCCATTCTTCAAGGTAAAAGTGCTCCAGCTCCTTCAAGTTGGATGGGCTCCGCTGGTGTACAGCAATCTTTAAGTCATACCACAGATTATCAAATGGACTGAGGTCTGGGCTTTGACATTTAAATGTTTCACCTTAAACCACTTGTGTGTTGCTTTAGCAGTATGCTTAGGGTCATTGTCCTGCTGAAAGGTGAACCTCCGTCCAGTCTCTGGAAGACTGAAACAGGTTTCCCTCAAGAATTTCCCTGTATTTAGCGCCATCCATCATTCCTTCAATTCTGACCAGTTTCCCAGTCCTTGCTGATGGAAAACATCCACACAGCATGATGCTGCAACCACCATGCTTCACTGTGGGGATGGTGTTCTCGGGTGATGAGAGGTGTTGGGTTTGCGCCAGACATAGCGTTTTCCTTGATGGCCAAAAAGCTCAATTTTAGTCTCATCTGACCAGAGTACCTTCTTCCATATGTTTGGGGAGTCTCCCACATGCCTTTTGGCGAACACCAAACGTGTTCGCTTATTTTTTTTTTTAAGCAATGACTTTTTTCTGGCCACTCTTCCGTAAAGCCCAGCTCTGTGGAGTGTACAGCTTAAAGTGGTCCTATGGACAGATACTCCAATCTCCGCGGTGGAGATTTGCAGCTCCTTCAGCGTTATCTTTGGTCTCTTTGTTTCCTCTCTAATTAATGCCCTCCTTGCCTGGTCCGTGAGTTTTGGTGGGCGGCCCTCTCTTGGCAGGTTTGTTGTGTTACCATATTCTTTCCATTTTTTTATAATGTATTTAAAATGGTGTTCCATGGGGTTCAAAGTTTGGGATATTTTTTTATAACCCAACCCTGATCTGTACTTCTTCACAACTTTGTCCCTGACCTGTTTGGAGAGCTCCTTCGTCTTCATGGTGCCACTTGCTTGGTGGTGCCCCTTGCTTAGTGGTGTTGCAGACTCTGGGGCCTTTCAGAACAGGTGTATATATATACACAGAGATCATGTGCTTCTGAAGGTAATTGGTTGCACCAGATCTTATTTAGGGGCTTCATAGCAAAGGGGGTGAATACATATGCATGCACCACTTTTCCGTTATTTATTTTTTTAGAATTTTTTGAAACAAGTTATTTTTTTCATTTCACTTCACCAATTTGGACTATTTTGTGTATGTCCATTACATGAAATCCAAATAAAAATCCATTTAAATTACAGGTTCGTAATGCAACAAAATAGGAAAAATGCCAAGGGGGATGAATACTTTTGCAAGGCACTGTACCTGTCCTCCCAAGTCTAAAGCAAAAATAATAAATACAAAAACTAAAAAACCTGAAGTACTCACGGCACTCCGGGACCAGAGTTTCCCTACCCCTGCCTTGGGTGGTAAAACCCTGTAGAATCACAATTGCTTTTATTGTGAACAATGGAATTACCTCGACTCTGAAATGAATTACATAGTAGATCTATGGCTTTACAGTGAAAGGATTTGAAGACATCACGTTGTGGTCTCATCTCACCTGGAATGGACTTTAGTTCTTAATGTTTGTTCCATACTGTTCTGACATTTTACATGGTCAGACACTACAACGTTGTTGTAGACAAAGAGTAGTTAACGTAAGATGAACATGTATTCAAGCTTCTCAAATGGCTTGTACTGCAGAAAAACTGCAGAGAGGAATACTGAAGATATGGTTATGCTACACCTGCACTAAGATGTAAATACGATTAAGAAAATTAAAGTTATGTAAACCTTAATAAGCAATTATGATCTATGTAATATTTATGAGTTTAAGGCACAATCTATACATTTACTTCATTATTGCAGAGTAGACGCAATTCTTCTGCTATTCCTGAAGTAATAATAATACAAAATGTTCTGTTAGGGATTTATAAAAAACAAATACATTTAACTCCTTATCCATATTATCCCCAAGAACATTGGATCTTGATGAACGTCCCCACTGACAATAGTCATGATATTGGTTTTATATGTTGAGGAGCTTGGGAGCCCCTTAGTATTCACATCTCTCAAGCTAAACAAAACAGCGTTCATGGTTTAAGAGGAGCAGAGGTTTGTCCCTGATAGCCTGTACATGCCACACAACAATGAACAAAGTGCTAAAACAGACCACATTATATCTCATGGGTTAACTGCAACAATCATTATCAGGAGGATTGATATCATGGTTTTGATCCCTAGCTCAGTATTACTTTGTCTCATGTCTGACTGAAAGCAATCCAGGTTTAAGTTAACCTGTGAGACTATCTGGTTGTTGCCATAAAAATGGCCAATTCGACAATCTTTTTCAAAGGGCATGAAATTCTTAACAGTAAGGGATGATCCATTCTAGAACCAAAACAAAATAATGCAAATCATCACCGGAGGATGTTAGTTGCAAATTTACCTGATGGAATCCAACTGAAGTCAATGGGTGCATTCCAGACATAGGATATCTATATCATGTTGATGTGGTATCCTAGTATGTTAAACACTTGTCCAGGTATTGTAAAGATCGGATTTCATCCGTGAAGAATTGTGCAGAATCTGTGCATCTGGAACGCACCCAAAACGTCAACATGGCGTCACCGGGAAGCGAGTTTGTTGGCCTCAGAACTCTTCCTCCTCTGAGCTGAGGTAGTTCTGCTTCTTCCTCACGTTCCAGTGTAAACATTGGCTCAGGCTCTCAAACCAGTCGTTCACGGGGTCCCGGAAACAAATGGAGGGAACAGGGAAGCAGGAAGTAGTGATGGTAATGCTGGAGATAAAAAAACAATAGGGAGATAAAGAGCAAACACAGTCAGTCAAGTATGAGTGGGAGGCATGCCAGGTATTCACAAACACCTACATAATTACGAGAGTCACTTGAAAATTGCGGACTGACACCGTTACTGGTATATCAATGCATTTCAGCAAAAAGGAAGAATTATCTCTGCTTGCATAATGGTAAACCTGTACTGAACATCATGTGACATGCATTCTTTGCTCGAGTCCATGAAACGGGTCAACAATTATATAACTGTCTGTGTATTCAGGCGACTTGCAGGAGTTGGATACACTTTGGATAGAGTTTGTCAGGCTATCTCCCATGTTTATCAGCTTTTGTTTGATGTTCGGTGGTGCTTTGTTTAGTGGGAGGTTGCAGTGACTGAGGGGTCAAAAGGTCGCCCACCTGTCTCCATGGCAGATCTCTTGTCTCTTCCTCCCGTCAAACGACACCCAGGCCGTATTCCTGGCGTCACGTGACAGCATGATCTGAGTGTGACAGACGGAGCAGAAGAAAGGAATCCAGGTGAATGACCAGTCAAAGACAACAAAAAGTATTCAACAGAAAATGCTCTGTGAAAGTGTGTGTATTACAAGCAATTCCCTCATTCCCATGCATAACCTGTGACAACTGAAGGGTACGCATTGTGCTAGCTGTGTGTCAGACTGGTCGTTATTGCCTGTGCTGTCTGACGCAAATGTGTTCTGGGGAGGCGCAGTAAATGCTAATGGCTTGTGGAAAGGAGCGGTAAATAGATAATGTCTGTATGGTGAATGCATGTGTGTGTATGAATGTGCATTTGTATGTATGTATGTGCATTTGTGTGTATGTATGTGTGTGTGTATACCTTGAGTTCCACCCCAGCAGGCACCACGATGGGTCTGAAGGACAGTGAGTGTGGGCAGATGGGGGTGATCATGATGGCTGGCACGTTGGGGTGGATCATGGAGGCTCCGGCCGCCACCGCGTACGCCGTGCTGCCCGTGGGAGTGGACACTATCACACCTGAGACAACACACACACAGACACTACTTTGAGCATACCACCAAAAACACTCAAGAGACACAAGCCTAAAAACACCAACGAGGTGAAAGCAGTTCCAAAACTCCGTAAACCGTCCCGAAGACAAGGAAAATAGTTCTGACGTCAGACCCTGAGAGGCTTCCAGAAAGGGAGTTAATAGGCAGTAGTGAAGGACAGATAGAGCAAAGACTAAACTCTACCAACCAAATCTACCAACAAGGCGAGCTGCAACAGTCTGCATCACTAATAGACCATCAGTAGCATTGCTGCTTGTTTGCACTCTGGGCTTGTACACAGGCGGTAAGCAGTAGCACGAACATCACAGTATGACGACCAGTTACAGCATCTAAACTCTGGTACAACTTTAAATCAGAGCTGCATTAACAACGAAACAGTGTATTATATTAGTGAAACATCTAAGTAAAGTGGGGAATAAAAGTGAGGCAGCTAAAACAGATGGGGTAAAACATGTCCTTTAACCCAGTAGCAGCAGGTTGCTCACCGTCTCCCTGTACCGTGGTGATGAGGTGTCCGTCTAGGAAGAGGTCCACGTTGGAAAGGTAGGAGGACGGGCCTCGGTCCACCACCACCTCATTCAGCACCTGTTGGACCAGGAAACCCAGAGCCATGTTAACCAGAGATACTGCACTAACCAAGTTGTTAGTCACTTTGGGAACCCTTTTTGAACCCAGCCCTATGTTATGACTTGTCAAATCCAACTCAGTAGGAAGTAGGGACTATGTATACAATGGCACGACTCAAAACATCCCACGTAGCCCACGTACATTAACCCCATGATGTGTGATAGCACCATTGGCCAAAATGGAAGCACATAGGGGAAACAAATCCTTGTGACAGACTACCTCAAACAAATAAGGAGGAAGTGAAACATGACCCAGAACAGGTGGTACATTTCAACCTTCCTGGTGTTTTATCATGCACTGGGATCTGTGGTCAGGCCTGTGGCAGTGGGAACATTACCAGCGAAAACGCCTCATGTCCACTACATGTAGCCTCCTTTCTATGTACCCAATGACTGCATGTTTGTTCAACACGTTGCAACAATAGGTGAACACCCAGTGACCACAGAGTAAAGACAATAAGCATGAGATGTGCCAAGTCATCATGATGCTTGGAACCTATTGTGGTACGAACCATAATACTGGGGTGACATCATACCAGCCAGGTGTATTGTGTAGAGCTCACCTGGTACTGCATGGCTTTGCGGCTGCCCTCACTGTCACCGTTGGTCATGATGATGCCCTTCTTCTCTTGGCTCTCCTTCAACACTCTCACCCGCAGGCGACTGCGCAGGATGATGGCGGTGTTACCTGCTCAGCAGACACACCGAAAGAGAAACACACACTTTTGTTAAACCTAGAGTAGCACAAAGAGGTTAACCTAGCTGCTAGAAATGCTAAGAGAGTACGGCTCCTGGTGTTGAAATTGGATAAGGCAGAGGCTAAAGAAAGTAACACTGAACGTACCCTCAATGATTTGGGTGACCTGAGACTGGTAGGTGTCAAAGTTGAAAGGTGTGAGGAAGCCCAGAGAACCCAGGTGGAAGGCCATAACAGGTGGAACGCTCTCCTGAAAACACATGCGCATGCTATGGAATAAGCTAAATTGATACAAATCAATACACAACCAAGTTGCTGAATTATTTTACTACAATTCACATACAGTATATTCAAAAATTGACAAATTAGTGTGTTTACTATACCACAAGATGTTAATTATATAGTAAATGTATACCTGGAAGAGTGACGATGCGTAAAGTAAGGTCCCATCTCCACCAAGACAGATGATGAAATCCACTCGATTGGAAATGTCATCGAGATCTGCACGGTGCATACAAACACATTAGGATCATGTCTGTAAGAGAAAGCTATACTACTTAAAGTGAGAGTTTCATAGACAATCCTGACATTGACACTACATCACTAGCTAGAATCATACAGACCAATCTATCATCAATCAGGATCGTATTCACTAGGCACCAAATGGAAGAAAACTGACTAAAATAGGGAGGAACTAGGTAAAGGGGATACCTAGTCAGTTGCACAACTGAATGCATTCAACCGAAATGTGTCTTCCGCGTTTAACCCAACCCCTCTGAATCAGAGAGGTGGGGGGCCTGCCTTACATCCACGTCACCGGCAACCAGGAAGCAGTTGTTGTTGGGGGTTAACAGCCTTGCTCAAGGGCAGAACGGCAGATTTTTCCACCTTGCCGGCTCGGGGATTTGAACCAGCGACCTTTTGGTTACTGGCCCAAAGCTCTTAACCGCTAGGCTACCTGCCGCCCCTAAACTTCTCCCATAAGATAACGCGTATTCGTTTTCTGTTGTAAAAAAAAAGTGCTATGGTGTGCACTAATCAATACGACCCAGTCCTCTGATAATGGCTGGTGGTCTCCTCACCTTCTCTGAAGGTACAGAACTTCTGGATGACGGCCCCAAAGCTCTCATCGCCCGCGATGGCTGGGTCCGCCAGAACCTTCCTCTCCACGTAAACAATCATGTTTTTCTGCTAGAACAACGCACAAGTAGAAACATATGCATTAGCAACATGCACATGTAATCACCCTTTTGGGTCGAAAGGCTATTCCGTCTCTACAGTTTACAAGCAGCTTTACTTTCTAGTGGGGTATAAAAGTGTACAAATTCTCAGTCATTAATATTTCTGTTTAGGGACTTAATGGCAGAATTTCTAATGAAACTGAAGTAATATACCACACACCCCGTTAAGGCCACTAAGGTGCAGGAAGCTATAATATGAGACTAGAGAGCCTCTGCAAAAAGGTGCAAATGTCCTACCTCTGTGAGGAACACACATAGCTCTTTGAAAGGCTGCAGTAGACTGGCATCCTGGATCTTCTTGATGACAAGGACACTTTTGGGAGGCTTGTTCCACGTCAGTCTCTGACTGGCTGGGTCCTGAATGTGCCTGGATGGTGAGAAAGAAAGACCACGGGTAATCAATCCCTTTTCTAATGCTAATAATTGACTGCACAATTTGATCAAAGGGATTGCAGCAATAAAGAGCAACATTGAAATGTTGTTCCTTAATATAGAGACATGTATGACTCCTTGACCAAATGGGGCTTTCCAAAGTTATTCAATTTTGGTGGAGCACCATTTGTAAACCTACAGCTAAGAGCAGTAGTTTGACATGAGACATTGTTCACCTTGACATCTTGAGGTACAGTATATAAACATAGTTAACACGTTTGTAATTATCGCATGGTTGCTCACTACTGTAGCCTGTAAGCTTTGCGGCTGTGGAACATTTCTGGTTTGGGCACGGTGAGCTCTCAGTAGCCATGTTTTGAGCTCTTGTTGTTGGCTCAGTGTTACTTCATACGGTTTGTTTTTGCCCAGTTGGATAAGAGGCAGGGCTGCTTAACCCCTATCCTATTATTGGCCGGGACTTAGTCTAGTAACATCGGCAGCATCAGAGTTCAACAGGGTCAAGACAGAAAACAAATTGGTTCCTTATTTAAAAATAAGAGGAAGAACAAGCTATGAAGGAAAAATACTGTAGTTTTGGTGCAGGTACAGCCAAAAAGCACAAAAATAATATTGTTATATTGTCAAAAATAATATCCCGATATGTAACTGTATTGATTTCCCCCCCCCCATCACTACATAATAAGGAAGTATTTTTCTTGTCAACTTCCACTGTTGTATTTGTTTTACATTTTAAGAGTTTGGGGAAATGCATTTGTTGACACAGCCTACAGATACACTCAAATACTTCTATATCAATTGTTAAGCGGTACAACTTGCACTTGCCATCATTCATTCAAAGGACTTGTAATTTATCATTACACTTGGCTTTATCAGTCGATGTTGACTTTGTGAGCTGGTTAGACAGTACCTTAACTGGAAATTCAAATGGCCGATTCAAACAAAAACCCTAACTAATCTATAGGCTATACAAAGTAGCCTAATTTAGTCATAACCAGAGTGAAGACAAATATTTTTATAACTAAACCAAGATAGACCACAGCCTGTGGTTTCCAATGAAAACAAATTAGTCATAGTGGGCAGAACAAGCAAGGAGGTGGATGAGCTAGCGAGATCCTATTGGCCTGTTCTAGCATGCATCTGCATATTTCCGTTAGGGAACGCCTACTCTGATGTGCGCGTCTGCAATAACTCAATTCGCCTTTGCACTCCTTTTAAACAACGCAATTTTTAAAAACTTTGGCAAAGGGTAAAGTCTACAAAAATTAGTCCACTCTTTTCATATCAGATTATAGTTTTGGGAACAGAAAACTGTATTAAGATAAAATGTTTCATCTATGAGAAAATTTGCAGAATGTCGGCCAAAATCCATCTCCTTCCAGTTTCTACCACTGCCGGCCACTGGGCTTCCTCTCACTACCATATTTGGTAGTGAGTGGAAACGCCAAGCGGATACTTCACAATTATACATCCGGTGAAATTTCTGTCTCATTATTCTCTCTGTGGTCTGTAGACCTTGTGCAAGATCAAAGTGTTATTTTGAGATACTGTTTGGATGAGATACTCTGCTGTTGAAACAGAGATTTGTTTCACATAGAAAATGTGTTAAAACAGTGACAACAGTACAAATCCAAGAGAGGGACAGGACCACACATGATGACACCAGCTTACTACATTACACTACAATGCTTCATCAATTGTTGTTTAGCTTCCGGTACCATAAGACTGCCACAGTAAAAGACAGACATAACATCAACTTGGGTTGCCATATCCTTGAAATGGGTCTACTGCATGTAAAACACTGACATAACATCAACTTGGGTTGCCAGAGCCATGAACTCCAACATATTGTACAGAGAGAAACAGCCTTCATATTCCCCATCATCTCTTCTGCGGTAGGGTCGTACGCAAATGTACCGTCTGGCAGCATAACCATCAATATCTTGAGGATGTTAGTCATTATTAATCTCTCATGGACAGACTGCAAAGACTAAAATGGAACTGAGTAGTGTACGTGATATTTACGGTTCTTGGTTGCGGAGATTAGTCATTATTGATTTCTGTTAGTGGTACTCTACAGTATGTGTGCGTGGAGCATCATTTTTAATTGTAATCAATGTTTCAATATGCAATTTCTGCCTCCCTCAATGTGTGTCCGATGATTGTCAACGACCGAGTCCTCTATGTTAGCCATAGAGGTTGTGTGCAGTGCACCGCAGTCATTATTGCTCTTGGGGATATAACCCAATATCGAAGCAGCCAAGCCCTCACCCACACCCTGTGCCTGTGTTTGTCAGTGCTATGGTTCATTTAGTTTAGTAAATGGCATAGTCACTCATAACCTCAACCTACATCCAGTCATAAATGAATAGTACTTCTCATTTTGAATGCCAATGTTTACAAATGAGAGTTAACCCATTCCCATAGGACAATAGATACTCTAAAGTGGATACTATCTGTAGATACCATAGATACTAATACACAGGTATACCAGTCTCTCAGGTCCTTACTGTCACCTAATTACACCATACGCAAAAGGAGATTTAAAAAAAACAAAAATCACACCGTCTTTGTGACTGCCACAATCTTTTAAACTTACTGCTTACAATAGAGGACAATGCAGGTTAATACTTCACTTATCAAACATTACTGGCACCACCATGTTCCTATTGAGAAACCCTGTCAGCAGAGAGAGAGGAACGAGAATATTCTTACCATTTCCACACTTTGTTGTAACTGTTCTCCAGAGCTTGCTGTTGCACACACTGGTTGAATTTCATGTCTGTCTGCATGTGATGAGGCTTCTTCTAGCGGAGATGGGTGGAGAGGGCACTGACTGCTTGGTTTTGCCTAGCTACCTGCTCTTCAGTCTACCGATTCCACTATCTAAAGCAAAACAACTCATTCTGCTCTGTTCAATCTCTGTGTGGTCTTCCCATGAGCTGTCTTCAATATATCTCCCTCATAAAACCACCACGAAAGCCACATTAGTCACTAATTCCTCCTGGATTGCCGTGTGTATATTTGTCCACGCAACAAAGTCTTAAAGCTAAATCTCTATTCTGCCAGTGACCCAAACCGCTCACTCATCTTAAGACAGATCTGAAATGGATGACATCACCGCAAGTCCCGCCCACAGCCACTACAGACCAGCCCCTTTAAGGGAAGACTACTCTCATTGGCTGGCTGTGTTATGATGATATAGAACAATGTTCAAGTGGATTTTCCCAGGTTAGGCCTACCTAAAAAGGTTTCCTAGGGCATATACAGTAAGAGCAAAATACTTTCACCTACCACATACTGCCTTGTCGAAGAAAAAAAACATCCTCTTAATTTAAGCAATGTATTGAAATAGTCACATTTTAGAAGGGTTAAACAAATTGTAAACAAATATTGTGTTACGTAACAGAAAAAAGGGCAATCCTAAAACAAGTGCCTGTCAAAGACTGCTCTTCTTTGTCATACCAGATATATTAAGGGTTTGGTTCTCTCTATAGTCCATCACTCCACAGTCCCCAGTGTGTCTGTCTGTGTCTCTCTCTCTCACACACACACACACACACACACACACACAAAGAAACAAAGAAAAAGGCCCTCCCTATTAGGCTTGGGTATTTTAGTGAACACACCCACCCACAGACAAGGAAATGGCTTACCAGTGGCTTACCTGGAAAAGGTTGTAAAGGTGTTATTGCTTATAGCATTGAGTCATGAACCAACTAATTAATCCTAGAACCGCCAACATCTTTTGAACTTTATGTGAATTTAAAATTGTAATAGCTCTGCCATTTTTTAAGTCATGTCTCCCCCCAGTCCTTGACCTTTCCTAAATAAGTCAATTTAACACACTGACATTGTAAGAATTTCAATAACACAAACAGAATGTGTTATAAGCAGTTTTAGGAGGACATGTCAGTTGCCTGCCCAGCTGATAATGGCCCCTCAAAACTAAAACTTAAACTATATCTAAACTAATTTCACACATAACAGATGTTGCCTAAAGACAAGATTAAATTGACAATAGTCTGACGGGTGACAATATTATAAATTGTCAAATAGTGAATGAAGAGACCACAAACACCTGTGTTCACCTCTAACAGAGAAATTCCCCCTTTCTTCAGTCCAAGACTCCAACTCATTTCCAGTCATGGCTGAAGAACCAATTAACACTAGAATAGCCAGGCCTAAACGAGTTCAATAGCCACACCCTTGGAGTGTCTTAAAAATCAATTTAAATATAGGCCTACACCATCGCAAGGTAAGAAACATTATGATGCTAAGAAAATGTATTTCAAAAGATCAGAAAAGCATTTTGAGTTTAATCAACATGTAGAATCGCCGGGAAATTAATAGAAAATGCAGGTTCTGTGGTCAGAGGCGATAAGATGACCACCCGCGCACGGTTGATGTTCATGTTTGTAGGTCTTCCCTCTAAAAGCACACCATCAACCTACACTGCTACTCCGTTATATATTTATCAGGGAGTATTGGTAGGAAGGCTGTATCATAGCATATAAAACTATATTTGCTACTTATAGCCAGCCCAGAGGCTTTGCACCTGAGGATGCTGATCAAATCTAATTTTATTTGTCACATGCGCCGAATACAACAGGTGTAGACTTTATTGTGAAACGCTTACTTATGAGCCCTTTCCCAACAATGCAGAGCTAAGCACATTTAGACAAATGTGCTAAAAAATTAAAAAGTCAATAGTAACACAAAAGAACAATAACGAGGCTATATACAATGAGTACCGGTACCAAGTCAATATGAAGTGGTACGAGGTAGTTGAGGTAATATGTACATGTAGGTAGGGGTAAAAGTGACTAGGCAATCAGGATAGATAAACGGAGTAGTAGCAGCGTATGCAAGGAGCGTGAAAGTGTGTCTATGTGTGGAGTCAATATGCATGTGTGTGTGTGAGCGTATGTAGTCATAATCCATCTATTATTGCTGCTTAAAGCAGACAGTATAATAACCAAGTTATATGATGGGCCAAGGAAAGCTCTGGCCAATCTCTAAGAAAAGGGGCAGCCAAACTGCTTTGGTAAGAGTCTTTCATGCACTGTACGCAGACTATCCCACAATGTGTGATCTCGGCCTGTATCCACAAAGCGCCTTAGAGTAGAAAATTGGTCGAAAGTGCTGCGATGAGATATTTTACTTATACTCTTATGGGTAAAAATAAAAACTATGCATGAAGCATATTAGGCAGATATTTAGGAGAAGACCTCATGAGCTGTCCTAACCCCATTAAGAGTTACCAGCAGGTGTCTTGATTATAGAAAAAGTCAGCGTTTCCCACACCATAGACAGTTAATTGATTTGGAATTGTTGAAATAATATTTGTATATTTATGTATGATCAATCCATAAATAATCTATGCCTACATGCAACATTATATCCTGCGCTTTTGACAATGATTTGAAGGCCTATTTCACATGATATACCATCACATATTACACTTTTGTTTCGATTATTTAATCTACACTACACCCATAATTTGCAACAATGTCACAATCACAATATTTTCAATAATCTCAAATTGTCTTGATCACCAGCTGAGATAAACTTTTATGACTTGATTTTACTCCTGGCTCAGTGTCTGACCAGTCTCTTAAAGGCCCAGTGCAGTCAAAAAAGTGATTTTCCTGTGTTCTACACTACATGACCAAAAGTATGTGGAGACTTGCTCGTTGAACATCTCATTCCAAAATCATGGGCATTAATATGGAGTTGGTCCCCCCTTTACTGCTATAACAGCCTCCACTCTTCTGGGAAGGCTTTCCACTAGATGTTGGAACATTGCTGAGGGGACCTGCTTCCATTCGGTCACAAGAGCATTAGTGAGGTCGGGCACTGATGTTGGGGGCAATTCAGCCTGCCTCGCAGTTGGCGTTCCAATTCATCCCAAAGGTGTTCGATGAAGTTGAGGTCAGGGCTCTATGCAGACCAGTCAAGTTCTTCTACACCGATTTCGACAAACCATTTGTGTATGAACCTCGCTTTGTGCACGGGGGCATGGTCATGCTGAAACAGGAAATGGCCTTCCCCAAACTGTTGCCACAAAGTTGGAAGCACTGAATCGTCTAGAATGTAGTTGTATGCTGTAGCCTTAAGATTTCCCTTCACTGGAACTAAGGGGCCTAGCCCGAACCATGAAAAACAGCCGCAGACCATTATTCCTCCTCCACCAAACTTCACAGTTGGCACTATGCATTGGGGCAGGTAGCGTTCTCCTGGCATCCGCTAAACCCAGATTTGTCCGTCGGACTGCCAGATGGTGAAGCATGATTCATCACTCCAGAGAACGCATTTCCACTGCTCCAGAGTCCAATGGCAGCGAGCTTTACACCACTCCAGCCGACGCTTGGAATTGCGCATGGTGATCTTAGGCTTGTGTGCGGCTGCTCGGCCATGGAAACCCATTTCATGAAGCTAAAATGCAATTGTGTTTGTTGTCCGTAGCTTATGCCTGCCCACACCATAACCCCATCGCCACCTTGGGGCACTCTGTTCCCAACGTTGACATTAGCAAACCACTCGCCCACACGACGCCACACAGGTGGTCTGTGGTTGTGAGGCCGGTTGGAGGTACTGCCAAATTCTCTAAAACAACATTGGTGGCGGCACATGGTAGAGACATGAACATGAAATTATCTGGCAACAGTTCTAGTGGACATTCCTGCAGCCAGCATGCCAATTGCACGCTCCCACAAAACTTGAGACATCTGTGGCATTGTGTTGTGTGAAAACTGTACATTTTTGAGTGGCCTTTTATTGTCCCCAGCACAAGTTGCACCTGTGTAATGATCATGCTGTTTAATCAGCTTCTTGATAAGCCACACCTGTCAGGTGGATGGATTATCTTGGAAAAGGAGAAAAGCTCACTAACAGGGATGTAAACAAATTAGTGCACAAAATTTAAAAGAAATCCGCTTTTTGTGTGTATGGAAAACTTCCATGGATCTTTTATTATGGCTCATGAAACATGGGACCAACACGTTACATGTTGCGTTTATATTTTTGTTCAGTGTATATTTCCACAATATGAGGTTGGAATAATACTGTGAAATTGTGAAAATGATAATGTCCTTTGTGTAAGAGTTGTTTGAAAAGACCGCCTCACATTTCAGCCTGTTGTGGTGGGAATAATTTTTGCCTGTCTGGTGACATCACTAGGCGATAAATTAGTTAATAGACCAATAAGAAAGAGAATTCCAAACCTCTCTGCCAGTAACAGCTAGTTTTCAGTTTTCCCATCCCCACTCAGACCACTCCCAAACAGCTATTTTTGTTTCTTTTCAACTTTAATTGAAAACAATCACAGTAAGGTACTTGTTACCCAGAAAATATTTGATATTGAGATGCAGCTGCATTGGACCTTTAACGTCATCCTAAAACCTACTCTGAGCTCGCAGTTCTTTTTGTCTTATAACAGGTTTTAGCAGGATTCATAGGACCTTTTCTGAGACGCTTTATGGATACGGCCCCAGAACCATGCAAATCTCTTCAACAGCTTTCTGTTCAGTCATAGATCCCTCTTCAGCATGGGAAAGCTGCAGAGTATAACCTTAACCATGTCATGTTGGTTGACAAACAAAGCCAAGCTTGACCCCAATGGAATGGAGAAGACTTTACTTATTGGATGCAGGTGAACAGTCCATGTTGTCTGTCTGGTTCAGTGTAATTACAAATGAAACAGGTTTCCACATGGGTCTACATACCATGTGGAGGTTCAAACTATTTTGGCCCTCAGTGAAAGTGATCCAAGTTTCCTACCTCAGGGAGTTTATATTCACTGTATGGTTTAGTGCCAGCTCTGGATTCAATGATATTATGTTACACATCAAAAATCTTAAGCACAGGAACTTGCGCCAATCAATAGCAGCAGACTGAAAAGCGTGGCATGGTTCTGACTTCCTTCTAAGGTGATGTTAACAAAATGAGGTTTACTACAATAACTATTTAGCAGGAAACGATTTTATCCAGAATATATAAAATATCCTTATTGAGATATCAAGTCAGGGTGGAGTGAAGTCAATTTTAGATTTTTATGACTAATACTAACTACTGCACGTAAAAGCATGCA